AATATCTGCAGAGCAGAACTTACCTTCCACAGCAATTATTTTTAGTTAGCATATAGCTAAACTCTAACCATGGTTATATAATAGCAGCTGCATTCTGACATGATAAGCACTATGTTTTATATTCAATTAACGTATGATCTGATTAGTCGACTAATTGAATAAATAACCAGTGATTAATCGATTATAAAAATAATCGTTTGTGGCAGCCCTAAACCCATCATGTTTCATCTTCTCTTGTTTTTTTGTTTGTTTTTTTTGATTGAGTTAAAACCACCATTCATTTCAAACAGTCAACATTACATGGTTAATCTGAGGGTTGGAGAACATTAATAATTAAACTGTAAGATATCTCATCAGTTAAGTGATTTAACTGACATTATGCAGCAGAGTACAGTGATAAACTGTGACCTTCAGCTTGTTTTAATGTTAAAAGAAGTCTGATTAAGCTATTAATCTTAAGTTTCATGGGTTATTTTTTTATTTTGCTATGGGAATTGTTTTATTAAGACAGAGAGACTGGATAAAGGTGTGAGCAGGTACAGGGGGTGTGCCCACAGGAAGCAGAGATGCAGGTTGTGACAGAAATAATCCTGATCATCAACTGATCAAAAACAGACTCAGCAGATTAGTCAACTGTCAAACCAGTCATTAGCTGCAGTCCCATCAGAGGATGTGCTGAGGATGACTGGTTTTCCTCCAGAAGTGACAGAGAGTCCAACACAATCTGTTGTGTTTACAGTTTAAATCTTAATGGTCCTGTTTTCAAAGGGACCGGCAGGTTCAAACATGAAGTCCCTGCTCTCTGAGTAACACAGGACAGATGTTTGTGCTCCATCCTAACATCTGCACTCACAGATCACTTCTCAGGACCAGACAGCTGCAACATCACCTGATAACCAGCAGCTAGGCTAATGGAAACAAACTACACCCTGAAAGTCACTCCTTCCCTCAAACACCACGACCACCCGTGTCTGCGGAGGATCCCCGGGCCAGAGGGTACCGACCGGCCCCACCGGTCACTGTTACCGTCAGGTCAAACACAGTGCAGAAGCTGTGATTTCATGTTAGCATGTCGGCTAACTCCTAACTGGACCCAACGGTAGCACCGTCCTGTCATATCTCCCCACCGCCTTCTTCTTATAAAAACACCGGACCGGGCCTAAGCGGATTAATACGACAGTTTAGTGCTGACGACGGTTCCCGTGCAGGGAGATAAAACCGTCCGCCTGGCCCCGTTATCAGCCGAGCTAACGCAGCTAACGCTCCGCTCACTCAGGGACACTCTTCCTCCTCACCGCCGGCTCTTCTTACCTCATAGTTCGGCCTCCATCGTTTAGCGGTGATAAAAACAGGTCTCCGTGGGTTCACACAGCCATGCGGTGTAATTTCTTCTCCTAAAAAATGTGACGGTTTATCACTAAAACCGCTTTCCGGTGATTCTCCCGTGGTTCCGAAATCCCGACCGACTGAGGAGGACAGCTGGAAAATGGGGGGTAACGCTGGTCGCATCTCGCGAGAAGTCGCGGTGTTTACATGCTGCGTCAAAATCTCGCGATACTTAACATCCGACCACCGCTCGAATGTGGGCGCTTTCCTGTTGAAATTTATAATAATAATAATAATAATAATAATAATAATAATAATAATGATATATTCTCATATTTATGAAAATTTGTTGTACTTTCATAAAAGCAATAATTTGGTATTCAAGTATTATTAATAGGGTTATTCATAGGTCAATGAGTTCTAATAATTCTATGAGTTGTTTCTTATGTTTTCCACTTGTTGAACAGTCTTTTCTCTGCAGGACGATGGACTATTTGGACTTTTATTCCTCCTGAACTGGTGTGCAACATCTTAACTGGGACCATGAACTCCATCCTCACGGTGTGGGCTGTGATCAGCTGTCAGTGTCACTAGGCTGCTGTGAGATAAAAACAGCAGTTAAATAAGTTGTGCAGGTTTGCTCACTGTGACTGATCCTGAAGAAGGGAGCAGCTGAAAACATTTCCTTGGCCACATTGTTAAAACTGTGATTAATTCACTCCTGAATGCTCCAGAGCAGAGAAACTGATAAAACCTCTGCTTTTCTAGACGCTCACACTGGTACTCCTCACTTTGCATTTGATTTGCAAACCCTGGATTAAAGTCTTAGATAACTAAATAAAAATGATTTATTTATTTATTTTCTATTGTGATTGTTGCAACCTTTTGTTGAACAAATAATGATGTGTAAAATATCAAATAATAATAATTTATATCTTGTTACAACTTTTATTATGGACTGATATATTACTGTTTAGAATGAAAATAATAAAACAATTTTATGC